CCAAATAGAAATTGACCTTTAAAGAATTTGACACCAAAAGACAAATTTTGAGTTGCTAAAGAAATATGTAAAAACATCAGCTATACAAAATTTTATTGTCTTGTATATATAATTGATTTTTCACATGCTGGAAGATAATTGCTTACATAAAAGTCACTGATATTGACATTGATATTCATTAAATATCTGATGGTGCATTATTTGGTGAATTTCTAGTAAGATAACAGTTCTTTAAAAGTGATTCTGTTTGTGTCAGCTGTTTACAAAATGCAGGTTATTATTTTAAGTTTCCAATAATACCAGGTATTCATTAGTATCTAGTGAGTGATTTTTAACTTGTTAAGGATTTAGATGAATCATCATGTGTTAATTGTTTTTAATTATCAATAAGAAAGTAAAACCAAACCTAATAAAATAAGCTGTTTGTAACATGTTTTAACTTTTTTCTTCAAGAATCTCCATTTATTTTTATTATAGAATTATTTAATACCCCTTATATATTATGATAATCTTTTAAAAAACTATTCAGCATTGTTTTGAAAGATATAAATCATATTTGACTTAGAGATATAATACTCTGTAATTGTATAAATTTTTAGTATGTTTAAGTATCACATTTAAACAATATTGAAGATCTCTAAAAATTTACTGCCTCTTTATTTGTGTCCCTATCCATTATAAAGACCCAATCAAGGATTGGGTCTTTATAATGGATAGGGACACAAATATCTTTTTTTTCATATCTTTTTTTTTTTTTGTTAAGAAATGACTCATTATAGGCATAGGATTTCCAATAACACATTTAACTAATGAGAATTTTTGGTGTGAATTTGACAAGTTTATAATGTTTTTATTTTCAAATAGTTAGGTATAATGCTCCTATATTCTGTTAATATTAGAACAAAACATAGTGTTTAAAAAATATGCAAGCATCTCAAAATGGCTTAAAATTGAACTTTTTAGACAAATAAACATTAAACTTTTAGATATATTTGCGTTCTAAACTGCAACAAGCTGTCTATATTTTGCCCATTTATTGCAAAATTAGACAGTAGCAGCTAATCAGAAAAGTTATCTGTTAAGACTTGTGGATCAAGAGAAAAACGCTACAGTATTTTGGTGTATTTTAGCAGTTTTCAGGTTTTTTTCAAAGTTGAGATCATAATTTTTTTCTAATATAATACAAGTTAATAAAAACCACTTTTTAAATAAGAGAACTATCCCTAAAATAGTTCTAGAAAAATGAGACATTTGTTGAAAGTGAAAAAAATATAACTAGGCTTTAAAATTGAAAGTAAGAAAAATGTTTTTAGGCTTTGAAGTAATTCATTTTGACCATTTGTAAATCGAGGGAGACCACTGTGTCATATTTAAAGGTTATAATTTCTGAACCGTTGTACTAGAAAGTAGTGTTGTCTTGGTACTCAAATTTTAGTAATCAGACAATACTTATTTAAATACTTGGTGTCCAGAACCAAAGTCATTACCTAAATGAAAGAAGAATTCTTCTGATCACAAACATAAAATTGCATTTATAGCAAAAACTTGTATATTTATTTCTAGTCTGTTTTTCTAAAAACTTTCTGAGAAAAGTATACAAAATATTTTTTGTAAATTGAGGGGGACCACTATGTCATTTAAAGTATACAAAATATTTTTTGTAAATCAAGGGGACCACTGCCATATTTAAAGTATACAAAATACTTTCTGAGAAAAGTATACAAAATATTTTCTGGGGTTTCAATTAATAGGCTCTATAATTTTTTGAAATTCTTTTTAAATTTTTTAAATTTATTTTTCTTTTGTTGTACCGTAAATCGGGGTGAATAGAAGCAATTTTCAACTTTGGTATAAAATTTTGCATACTTGCAGTTGTTGTAGATAAAAAAATTTTGCCCAAACACAGGTCTCTGTTAGACCTATTTGCTTATAGTATTTAAATTTTTTAATTTTATTTTATTTTAAAGAAAAATAAATAAAACATGGTGTTTCTATTCACCCCGCAAATAGGGGTGAATAGAAACAGTAATTCAATTTCATGTGTTTTTCTATTGAAACAAATCGATAAAGAATAGAAACGGTCATATATTTTTAATTTGTAAATGGATAAATACAAATTTATTTCTTAACATAACATAAATGTAAATAAAATTGAATAAGTATACATTTGCCATATTTAACAAGATTAAATTATGATTTTTTTTATTTATTTAATAGTTTGTGATATTTATTTAGTCTGTTTTTTTATTATAAATTGCAATTAAAAATAAAGTGCAATTATATTAATAAATTGTGTAATCAGACAGATAATCTTTGAAAAATATCATGCTTTTGAATCGCTTAACCGAGCACAATACTGGGGAAGAGTTTTAGGATGACGTCGTTTCTGGAGACAAGAGATTGTTCTTCAGTTGTTATAAACTTATCAGTTTGTTGAACTCTTTTCAAAAATGTTACAATGAAACCATCGTCTTCAAAGTAAGCAACTTTGCATATATAACATCTAAAAGATGCTTTTGTTTTACCATAAACTTTGACCAACATGTAGTCATCTTCATTGATGACGAGGGTTTCGCCTGAGGCCCTGTCAGTACTTACATCCAGATCAGGGGAATCTGAAGAGTCACTATGCTGCACTGAAAAATCATCTTCATCTTCTGATGATAACTCCACGCGCATTCCGCTTTTATTTGGCTGAACTTGTTTGGAGAAACATGTGTTTTGGGAATTTAAACTCTCATTGTCGTCAACAAAGTCCTCAACACCGATACTTTTGCCAGGTTTCATATTAACTTTGGTTCTTTTTTTGCTTATCTTAGGAGTCTGATCTTGTCTCAGACTGAAGGAGTTCTTTGAAACTATTGTCAACCGCTTCATTGTTATTTTCAGGATCCTGGTTTTCCTTTTTATCGATAATTTGTGGAAGCATAGAGAGGACTTTGTTCCTGTTTAAAGGTGCTATACCAAAACCGGCGATCACATTTTCTTCCTTCAATGAATCACACAACTTTTTCAACAACGTTGGAAATTTATTCTTAGGAACAGTTGCTTCCGCTTTTTCTGGACCTTTTTTCTGCTCTTGGATAATATGTCGCCATTTCAATTTTAATGGTCGAAAAAATGCCACGTCCAAAGGTTGTGTCAGATGGGTGGAGTTAGCTGGGAGAAAAATAAAACTGATATTATTGTCTTTACACAACTTCACAGATTTTAATGATAAATGAGAAGACAAATTGTCCTCGATCAGAAATTTTCGACCTGTTTGTTTTTTCAGGTATGGAAGAGCAACTGTCAGTATTCAATCTTCAAAGCAAAAGAAATCAAACCAGCCGGACTTTGTTTGATTGTACCTGGCATTTTTTGGCCCACCCTCTGGCCAGCTTTGGTACAAATGAATTGCCTTGTACACAACGTAAGGGGGTAAAAGAGTGCCATTTGCAGCGGCTGCAAACATCACAGACGTTGATGCTTTTGATGAGTTTATGATTCTTTCTGGATATTTTGTCCCTCTACGTGTAATGACCTTTTGTTTACCAGGGTCATCACTTAGATTCGTCTCATCGTAGTTAACAATATTAGATAAAGACACATCCTGTAATCCATTTGTAAGTTTATCAAAATAGCTGTTAATTGTATCTGATGTCACACCAGCTCTCGATTGTTTAATATTTTGACACATTCTTACGGCCAGTTGATCCTTATGACATTTTAAAAATGTTTCAACAAAGTCACGGCCTGGGAGGTTATTTTTAAACCTCTTAACTTTTTTCCCTATTCGGTCAAAGAAGTCTTTTATAAGAAGTCGTAGAGTTGTAGTGTCAATAGGATAGCCCCATTTGCCACATATCTTCAGCCTTTCAACAAACAGTTGTTCTTCTTCGAGAGATTAAGCTGTCTGACTACCATGTTTCTTTATATTAGGACCTTTTTTCAAGTGTAGAATGTGGTAGTGGTATAGTGGTAAAAGCGCTTGCTTTGTAAACGAGTGGTTCGGAGTTCAACTCCCACCACGTCCCTGGAAGTACCGCGCTCAACTTAATTTCTCTGTGCAGCGGTCTTGCTTGTCAATGTTTGTGTTTCGGAGTTAAAGAGTTGAGAGAGGGTTGTACCACGATTTACAACAACAAAAAAAAAAAAAAAAAAAAATGAGTAGCCTCCTCGACTGTAGTGGCCTCCTCGGGCCTTGAGGAGGTGAATAATTAAAAAAAAAAAAAGTGTCGATATATAATGCAAATCATGTTTTAAAGCAGACTTCCGAAGACTGAGACCCTTCTGTATTTCAGAAACTGCCTTTTCAATTTTTTTTTGGATTGTGCTTTTTGTAGCCTCCTATAACAACCGGCTTGTAGTGTTTTGGCATTTTACAGGGTCCTGAAACAAAACAGCTGTGTCAGTTAAGTGTCTAACATAAATATATAGCACACAGTATGTATTTTATACAGTATAAACGTAATTTTGTATTAAATTTTTTTTGTGGTGTGTATAGAACCACTTGAAATTATGTGTTTCTATTCACCCCATAAATTCAGAAAACCTAACTTAAAAAAAAAAAATAGTTATTGAAATAATATTGTTAAAGTTAAAGCTTAAAGTTAGCCTAAATCTTTTATATGGATAATTAAACTATGTTTTGTACAGCTATTTACTTTCAAGAACACAAAGTATTCTGTCTTACCTGGAAAGTTCAAAGTAGATTAAAAAAATACTAGAATTGCGCGGTAAAATTCAACACAAAAAACAAACAAGAACCAGTGCTGCTAACCAAGCAAACTATTATTTCACTTTTAGGTTAAAGTGTAGCAGCCTAAAAAAAATAATGTTTGCCACTATTTACCCATAGTTATGTAGAAATTAGGTTATATATATATATAAATAAAGTTTTGTTTCTATTCACCTCACTGTTTCTATTCACCCCGTTTTACGGTATGTAAATTGTGTTAATAAATTTTTATTTAACAAAAAAAATATTAAAAAAAAATAAATTTTGTGCAATGATTTACCTATTATTTAACAGAGACTGCTAGGAATTTCCATAACATTCCAAATTAGGCTTTAAATCATGGTAATGGTGCCATCTAAAAAGATAGAAAGCAATTTTTATATAAAATATTACAGTTTTTATTTTAGGGGAGAAAAATTGTAAATTTGAAATATTTTTTTCAAAAAAAGTCTGTGTGCTAGTTGCTGAAACTAAACGCCTTGGAGTATTAATTGTCAGTTTGTCTTTGGATTGTAATTATAGTAATATTTAGTTTCAAGAAAAAAAATATTCAATCGTCATAGATATATAAATCATCATCTATATTTTATATGCTATTACATCTTTATTATATGCTATTATGCTTTATTTAAAGACAGTAATTCTGAAAAATATCTGAATAAAGTATGGGCCATTAAAATTAAAGTATGGGCTATTAAAATTGCTTGGTACTACTGTTAGTATCAATATACTTAATACTTTGAAAGACTTGTACTGTAGTACCAAAGTACCAAGTACAGGGTTGGCAAAAAAATCCAATTTAAAAAAACCCACCTCAAAAAAGCCCAAAATTTATTTGGATTTTTTTTTAAATGTCCTTTTTTTACAACTGATAAGTCTGATTGTAACTCTTATAAATGCTTTATTGTTTACAAGTGCAACTTTTATACTGTAAATACTCTTGTAAACACTGTATTTGTATACAAAATATTGTTTAGAATATAATTTTGAGTTCAAACTCCTTATTTAATGATCCAAAACCAATCAATTAAATTTTTCTTTGTAGAATGTTGGTAATTTATAGTTTTTTAAATCACACAGCAAGTTAAATATTGAAAAATACTATTGAATTATGTATTAAAATATTAAATAAGTTAAATATTTATAAAAGAAATAAAAATAATTCTATATATATAAAAATTAAAAATAATTCTAATAACTAAATTTCAAAGTACAAGATATTACTAGTTATTTAGTATTTTTACTCTCTTCTCAAAAATTTCCAAACAAAACATTTTATATATGTCATTTTATATTGGTATTTGATCTTAATTTTTTAAAGCATATGTTTATACTGCAAATTTCAGTACAAAGCTACAAGCAAAATAGTATATATAAAAATTGTTAAATTTTATTCGCAGTCTAGAAATGGGAGATTGTCAAGCAAAAAAAATATGCTTCAGTTTACCAGACTGTGGACAAGTCCACAGTCTGGTAAAATGTAGCATATTTAAAAGGTATTATATATTAAAGGAGTATTATAACAGTAAACAAGTACTGTGATAATACTCCTTTAAATAGTTACAATTAGGATTGTTTTTAATAAACACATTTTGTTTATATTATTAAAAAGTACTTAATACAAGTTTTAATTTATTTATGTAAACATGTAATTTTTTCCAACAAATTACATGCTAATTAAAAAATTACACTTTAAAATAAATAAAGTAGTTGATTCTGTTTAGAGAATTTTTTTTTTTTTTTTTTTTTGTTTAGTGAATAATTAAGTTTTTTTTTTTTCAAAGAAATGTTAATTTTATTTTAATGTTTCTTCCTAGTAAACAAAAGAAAATAGTAATTAAACCTTACTTTTTATAATTACATTTAAATGTGTAACTTTGAAACTTTGACCTTTTCTAAAGACTTTTTTAAAGCATTTAAATATATATTTTTTTATTTTCTAAGTTTTTTTAATTTTTTTTAATTTATTTTCTTTTTCAATAAAATGTATACATAATCACCTAAGTTCTGTCACAACGTAATCAAAAAAGCTTCCAGAAATTAAGTTTAAAAAGCATAATTAAAAAGCTTGCATAAATTAAATTTAAAATATTTTATTTCTTGAATAGTATGTGTTACAAAATTTTTGAACTTGAATTCAAAGTGTTAAATAAAGTGATCAAATTTAAAATTATTTTTATTAGGAATCAACAAATTGATTTTATTTGCAAACAAAATTTTTTAATTTTTGAATATTCACAACCTTTTTTAAACTTTTGTTATTTTAAAATAGTATCATGACTTATGTATGTCTATAGCGTTTGCGGCAGATATAAGCATTATTCAGGCCTCAGCAGTCAATCATCAGTGTCCGCCTCCACATGGGTGAATTAAAGTCTGTACAAAATACTATTTTTTATTTTTGAACAGCAAGATTTAATAATGTTTTTTAGGTTGATTTGTATTTTACTTAAAAAAATATTAAAAAAATCTAGGGTGTTTAAAATAAAATGTGGCTTTAACAATAAATGTTGAATGTTTTAAATAAAGGTTTTAACAAGTATTAAATAGTAATAAGAAAAAAGCAAAAAAAAATTATTACTTTTTTGTGAGCGTCTTTATGGTATAAGTTACTTTTGAATAATTTTTTTTTTTTTTTTGATATTTTAATAGAATTATATATTGATAAACTTAATAAGTTCAATTTTATTAAAATCCATATAAAAAATACTGTACAAAAAAATCAAAACAAAGAATTATAGAGCTTTATTAGTTTTTAAAAGTCCATTGAAATTTTTAATTTTATAATTTCAGTCAAAACTTTTTAAAAATAAAATTTAAAATTTAATCTACACAAGCTGTTTATTCTAATAATGAAAGAACTTATTAATACACAGTATCTTTATTGTTGCGCTTTTAACTTAGTATGTAAAGTATGACTTAATCAAAGTTATAATAATAGATATGCGCATATTTTAATAACTTTAATAAAATCTTTTTCATAAAATGTATAAAAAATTTGTTCGTTTAAATTTAAATTACAAAACACAAAAAGTTTTGAAAAAGTACCAAACTCATTCATTCAAGATTTAATTATAAGAACTTTTTCTTAAAACTGCTCGCTCTCTCTCTCTCTTGGAGTTATTTTCTTATAACTGCTTGCTCTCTCTCTCTTGGAATTATTTTCTTATAACTGCTTGCTCTCTCTCTCTTGGAGTTATTTTTTTGTAACTGCTCTCTCTCTTGGAGTTATTTTTCAATAACTGCTCTCTCTCTCTCTCTCTCTCTCTTGGAGTTATTTTCTTATAACTGCTCACTCTCTCTTTCTTGGAGTTATTTTCTTATAACTGCTCACTCTCTCTCTCTCTCTCTTGGAGTTATTTTCTTATAAATGCTCGCTCTCTCTCTCTTTCTTGGAGTTATTATTTTATAACTGCTCACTCTCTCTCTCTCTTAGAGTTATTTTCTTATAACTGTTCGCTCTCTCCCTTGGAGTTATTTTCTTATAACTACTCGCTCTCTCTCTCTCTTTTGGAGATATTTTCTTATAACTGCTCGCTCTCTCTCTCTCTTGGAGTTATTTCATTGTGATTTTTAAACTTAAATTTTAAATTAGAAAAACAAAATTTCACAAAGAGTAAGGAATAAGAAATGAATTTTTTATATGCAAAAAAAAAAAAGAGATGCAATACAAAAAAATATTTATAAAATAATCATTTTATAATAAAAAAGCGATCTAAATATATGCTAAAAAAAATTTTAAGGTATATTAATATTAGTTGTATAAATTCACTGGTAAATTTTGATTTCAAAATTTGCTAGTAAATTTACATCACTGATGCTTTGATTTCAAAATTTGTCTGTAAATTTATATCACTGATATTTTGATTTCAAAATTTGTCTGTAAATCTGGTTTGAAGGCTGTGTATGTAGGTATGATTAAGACTTTTCCAAAATAATATAAGAAAGCATTGTGGTTTGAAGGCTGTGTATGTAGGTACGATTAAGATATTTCCAAAATAATATAAGAAAGCATTGTGGTTTGAAGGCTGTGTATGTAGGTTTGATTAAGATCAGCAATGACATTTTGCTTTGAAATATCTTCATCAACAGGAGTAACCTAAATGGCAAACCATTTAAGTTGAGAACATTAAACACATTTAGGAAAAAATGTAAAAGTGATATTGGTTTTAGTTTGACTAGACTTGAAATACCCTGTATTTATATTAACTACTTGATTAATACATATCAAATGTGTTTTGATAGCACTAAAGTTACACCTGATTTTTTTAAAACTATTTTTTATCTACCTTACTTGTCAAATCATATTAACTCACTTCTGCCTATTTTTTAATATATCTTTTTTCTTCTTTATATCTTTTAGTATGATGTTCTAATGACACTTTGTTTTGTCATAAATAAACATATATATGATTTTGTGTCATTATATAGATTCTTTTTCTGCTATCAGAAGAACAAAAATTTAATGCTGTCAAAGAACTTTGTAGTTTACTAAAAATGTTTCCAAACAAGTATTCTATTCTGCGAAAGAACTTTTGTGAAGAAGCATCTACTTGCTATATAAAGAATTTGTTGAGTATTTCAAGACCTGTTGTTCTAAGTATTGGTTGTGATATCTTGAATGGAATTTTAGACTCTCTATTTGCAGATATCAAAAGTGATAACATTCAAAACCTCTTATGGATACTTTCAGCAATTTTAGAGAAATTTGATTATTTCTTAGAGAAAAACAGCTTTTATTTAAATAAGTTCAACACTTCATCAGCTTCAGATTTATCTTCATTAAATTTATACGAGAGAGAACAAGTAAAAAAATTAAATTTATACGAGAGAGAACAAGTAAAAAAATTAAAGCAATTCTGTTGTGATCTTGAAAATTTGCGATTCGATAATGAAATGTTCTGCGAGAAAAAGATTTTTGAAAACGAAGATATTTTATTGGTTCTTTCGAACATAGTTTTTAGATTATCAAATGCATTTGAAAATTTACAGATGCAAAATATCTTTGAGACAATATCTGAAGAACATTTTGTAGTTATACTTGTTAAATTAAAACATGTGACACAAGTTCTCTCAGAAAACCAAGATGCTGGTAATATTTACAAATCATTTCTTTCTTCCTCCATGCATTTCTTCAAAGTTCTAAGTTTGATGGATTTGAACAATAGAACTATAAAATATGTTTGTGTTGATGCAAGTACAAGTGATTTATTGCAGTTACGAAAACAGTTAAAATTGGCTGGTAAGAGTTATTTTTTATTTTTGTTTTGGTAGTACTATTTATATATTGTTTATATTTTAGGAAAAATAGTTTTCAAATAATTTTAGAAAGTCCAGTAATTTTTAAAGGTTTCAAACTCTCTCTCTATTCACTAAATAAAGTTATAAAAATACTAGTCTGGTTTTTGGTTCCTTTATTTTATTTTATTTCATTTTTCCATTATAATTTTGTTAAATAAAAACCACAAGTTGAGCACTTGACAAATTTTTAAGAATTTAAAAATTGCATTAAAAATAAGCAGAGAATTTTTAACCATAAAATTGGGTTTGGTTTGAGGCCCTTTAGGCATAGTGAAGACAACTTATCTAGGAGAAGATAAAATGTTATATAGCTTCTAATTTAATTGTGGGCAGTGGTCTTCACTTGTAATTTAACAGGAGCGCTTAAAAAAGTACTGGGCTGAGGCTCATCATGCTGGTATGTACAATTTTACTAAAATAGTTTCTATTTGCATTTTACTAAAGTTTTTATTTATATCTATTTATTTTCTTACTGTTGTCATTCTCAGAAAACAACATTTCCAGTATCCATGTTTTATCAAAAAACTTTAAATACTTTTAATAATTAATCTTATAAAAAATTAGTTTCAATCATGTGTTCATAAATTTTCATAAACCAGTTGATTATTTGTTTGTTAATTTGACTTGTTGAATTTTCTAATTTTTTTGCCTGATAAGTTTTCTTAAATGGTTAATAAATAGTTTTAATTGCTCAATAAATTGTCTTCTTAAGAATTTCGCGTAAAAAGAGGATGGTCATTTCACCCACTAGGTTTTCTTTGAATTATTATTACTGGCACCTTACGTGAAAAAAATTCTGATTTTCCTGCTCTGATTGGATTAAAATTTATGACATTTTAAATTTTAGCCTAATATGCTATATTTTTTGCTTTACAAAAGTTTAATTTTTTTTACATATAAACTTTATAAATGTATAAAAGTATTATTTTTCCTACTCCAAAAAAAATAATACTTTTATACATTTATTTTTTATTTACTTTACTTTTTATTTACCTTATTTAGTTTTTATTTAACTTTTCATTTGTTGGATTTCAAGCAGCAATCATTTTTTTTTTATTCTTTGTTTTTTATTTCTTTTTCTAATAAAAATAATTTTTTTTTCTGGGCCCCTTGTAGTAAGCGAGTTGTTAGTCCTTAGCCTTGGCTTTAGCCTTGCCTTAAGGCCAAAAATTTTCTTGACTTTTGGTCCTAAGGTCTTGACTTGAAACTGTTGCCTTACATTAAGGCCAGTTATTAACAAAACTGTAAGTTTTGTTAATAACTGGCCTTAACGTAAGGCAAAAATTGAGGTCTTTGGTCTTGAAAATGTTTGCATTTTCAAGACCAAAGACCTTGGCATTGAAACTCTTAATCTTGGCCTTGACCTTAAAAGTCCTGGCCTTGTCCTTGGTCTTGTAACTTGGTCTTTGCCTTAGCCCTGTAATGTGTGGCCTTGGCCTTGGTACTTTTGGCCTTGTTAACAACTCTGGTAGTAAGTGACCGGGGCCCCGTCTGAAAATAAGACTTTTTGCAAACACGGTTCTGGCTTTGGCCCTGGCAAAAATGTAAGATTTAGCAGGGGTTGCCAGTTGGTTTATTGCCGGGGCTAGAAAAAAGTTTTATAATACTTTATATATTTTTATTTTATGCTTACATTTACTATTTATTAATTACTGGCATATATTTATATATTTTCAAACTCTAGTTTACTTCCAACAAGATTGCAAGCAACCACTATTAAGTTATGAGTTACTTTAAATAGAGAATAAGTTAAAATACTAGGACACAGTTAACTGGAGACTTAAAAAGTTGTAGGTTGTATAAAAAAGGAAAACATAAAGATAAGTACAATTTATAAGTTTTTTGATGTGAAAGTAAAAAAACTGGATTAATAAAAGTTTTTATAGCATGAAGGGACAGATGCAGTAAGAGGATGCAACTTGTTGAATAAGGAGCCAAATAAGAATGAGTTTTGGTTTATCGTAATAGAGATCATTTGAGCATTCATCATAATAGTATTTGTAGAGAATAGAAATAAATGCAACCTTACAACAATGAGAGAGTGGCTTAAGCTTGGCAGATAAAGCAGGTATAATTACATTTACAATGTTCTTTTAGACTGAGAGTAAAAGGGTTGTTATTCCTCAATATAGGAATGCCAACATTATTGCAATATTTTTTTGCAGTAAATAAATTAGTTTTGTTGTCTAACAAAGATTAAGAATTTTGAGTCCAAAATTTAAATTCACAAGCAATTGTAAATCTTCGACTGGTTCAAAAGATTAAAAATCAGCTGCTTGTTCTGAGCAATTAATAATTTTAATTATTAATTGCTCAGAATTACAACAGCAATTATATTCATATTATTATTAATAGCAATTAATAATAGAGCCACATTAGTTTTAAAATTTTCATGAAGATCAATATTGTAGATAAGAAACGATACAGGAGCAAAGATAGAACCTTGTGGTACCCTTAAAATTACTTGAAATAAAGGAGAGTGTAGGCCTTCAAGAATAACTTTACTACTGCAGTAAGAAAGAAATAATGTAATAACCTCAAAACTTTTATAACAAGAAGCTAATATAAAGAAACTAACAACAGAGTGAAGACTAATAGAACCACTTATTTAGCACTTTTTTAAAATTTAGAAAAAATTAGAGAGAGTTCTGGAGAACACTTTTTTAAGACAATGCTGGAAATCTTGTCTAGAGCACTAACTGCAGAAGTTTTTAATTAAGAATTAACTTTAGCATTGGAAGCCAGAGTGATTTGGATGTTTAACAATGGGTTAATCTGTTTAACTGGCGATAAGAGTACGACCATAAGATTCAAGAGTCAAATTAGAGTAAGATTTCTTTGCAAATACCTCTACTTTATTCTGGGGAGAAGTAAAAAGAATTAGAGATTGAATGTTAGACTTACTTTAGTTAATGACACTGATGAAGACTAACAAAAAGTCCCTAGAACCTAGCATCTGAGATAAGATACAAGGTTTAGTAAACTGAGAATAACAGTGCTTAACATCAGACAGGACCTTTTTACATTGGCTTTTTGGAATAATAAAAGGACATTAGTTCTTAAGAAAGATGTTCTTGTAAAAAAGATGTAAAAAAATTTTAAAGTTTAATAAAGCAGCTGGTCAAGATGGTAAAAAATATGGAATAAAATGAGGCTTGACTTAAAATCAAAGAAAAGGAATAAAAGCTTTTAAACTTTTATTCCAGAAAAAAAATTTTATTCTAGAAAAGCTTCCGAGATGCGCTTTATGCATACATATTATGGATATAAACATACATGTTTGCTATTTATGTAGATGCTGGAATACAATATCCTTACCTACTTATATAAATTTTAATATTTTTGTGGTGTGGTATTGCCAAAAAAGATGATATATATAAAAAATATAACATGAATTTTGAATTAAAAAAATATACTTTAGGATGTATACTTTTTTTGTGCAGCCCTGGTCACAAACCTGGCCCTGGCTATATTTTATCAAACCCTGCCCTGAACCTGGTCAAATATCAACCCTGGTTTTTTACTAGCCTCTAGTTAAGGGTAGTGATAAGTTTTTTCATTTTTTTTCTTTATTGTTTTTATTATTTATTTATTTTATAACAGTTTATGTTTTGAAAGTTTTGATTTCTATTTATTGAATGTTATGAACTTTTACTATTCATTGAAGATGTTTTGCAACTTTTACATATTCTTTAAGATTGCAGAAAAATGTTGTCTAGATGTCTAGAACTTAAAGACCAAAAAGAGAAGTTTTTTATTGCAGTACATAGACTAAATCACCTATATTTCGGTCATAAAGAGGTTTTTGATTGGCTGCTACAATATGAAGACCTTAACACTGAAAATGCAGAATTATGGGTAAAAACTTTATGGACATACACCATTCGCTTTTGCTGTTTTGATGTACTAAAACGTTATGTGGAAATAGTTCATGATAGATTCACTAAAGGACTATATAATGTGTTAACAAAATCGTTTCAAGAAGTGAGATTTTACTTCATAATTTTTTTATTGTACATAACCTCATTTCATAATTTATAATTATAAAAATATTTATAATAAATAAAAATATTTATATCAAATATCAAAATACTTTTCTTCACAAATAAACAGAAAAAATATTATTTGTAGCAAGATGTCTATTTTAATAATTTATTAGTAAATTCTCTGACAAAAAAAAAAGTTTCTTTAGCTATTCCATGTCACGTTTAAATAAAAAAATGGCATTATGAAAACCTATCCGAACCATACTGTTGAGACATTGACATTCAAATTTAAATAAAGGGAGTAAATTAATTCATCATCAAGCTTTAGCCTTTTTCTTTTATGTTTCTCTAATATAAGCAATCTAGAGCATCTTTTTTTCTTAGCAAAAACTCATTCATACCATTTTTTATGCACTCTCTCTAAATTTTCTTACTTTTACCAATCTACACGCTGAACAAAATCACTTTAATCTTTTCCGACAAATGTTGTTTTACAAAGATTTTCCTAATCTTTGTTCAAGATAATTTATATGGTGTAGTTTTTTCTTTTTCAGAAAAAACTACACCATATAAATACTCAAGTTTATATAAATATATAGTTTTAATGTATACAACCATTTAAATAAATTGCAAACATATATTTTTATATCCATATATATTCTTATTATTTATGCACAAATGCACCTCTTTCCTCTCCTCCTGAATCCAAACAGGCATGGAAGTTTTTTTTCCTTCTTGTTAGTTTTAAGTCAGCCACATTCTTTTTTTTTCTTTTTTTTTTTTTCTACTTTTTTCCTCATTCTACACGTTTTTCACCTTCTTTTTCAGTTGTTTTATTAAATCATAATCATTTTTTTAATTTTTTTTTTTACAGGAACATCTCTCTTAAGAAAAGTTAGTATTTCAAAAAATCACGCACTTAAAATCCTATGTTTTGTCTGTTATTTTTATGATAATAAAACAAACAACCTCTATTTACTCTATTTGATTCTAATCTATATAAATATAGTAAGTTTGTGAAAAAAAGAATGGTATTCTTTAGTAGTGTTTTCAAAAAGTAAATTAAATTTGAAATGAAGTCCCGCAAGGTTTCTGTATTGTTTATATCTATAAAAGCAATCTTTCTGACAATCTTACAAGTGGCTCTATTTGCTGACAACTCAACTTTATACTTTTGTCCTCACTTGTCTCGACAAAAGTCTTCACTTTTTGATCATTTAGAATGAGTAATCGATCTTTTATCTGATTTCACTTCTCTAACAGCTTGGAGCTTGCAGTGGCTTGTGGATTTTAACTCCAAAAAAACTTAGTTATTTACTGAAAACAGCTATCACAATATTTTTGACATTCATATGTTGACAAATAATAACCCTCTCACTTTCAGACAAGGTCCAAAAACACATTGTAAATGTACTTGTATCTAATTTATCTGCTAAGCTATAGCTACTTTCCTTTAGTTGTAAAGTTGCATCTATTTCTTTTTTCCTCAAATATTATGGTCACAACTCAAACCAGCTATCATTTCTTGTTCAATCAGCCAAAACTTATTCTTCCTTGGCTTGTCATTCAGCATAATTGCCTCTTTTTACTGTATCGTTTCCTTCGTGCTATAAATTTTTTTTATTTATCTAGTTTTTTTTCCTCGCACATCAACAGAACCTTAAAACTCTCACCCATCTTCATATTTTTCTTATTGTACAATCTACAACTTTTTAAGTCTTTCTTTCAATTTCTTTTCACTATTTCCTTGTTCTTTAACCTATTCTTTGTTTTTAAGTAACTCATAACTTAATAGTGGTTGCTTCCAACATTGTTAAAAGTGAATTAATTTAATTATTATGTGAATTATTTAAATTTATAATATGTTAAGTATATATATGTTAAGTATAAATTTTTTCCTAGCCCCAGCTATCAACCCCTGCCTTCTAAGTCTTAAATTTGCCATGGTCTAAGTCTTAAATTTGCCATTGTTGGATTTGTAAAAAGCCCAGTTTTTAGCAGAGTTCCTAGTCACTTACTTAATAAACCACCTAAGCGACTGCTACTGTATTGTTGATCCCAAAAAACCTTGCTCAGGCACAAATGCCCCTCAAATCATTCTAATCATTCTAAGCATTCTTTTGTCCATTGCCCCAGTACCGCACAGTCCTACATTTGGGAGCTACTTTGTAAAAGTAATTACAGTACACTTGTAAATTTAGAAAATCTAATTTCTGAAGCTTTTTAAGTGATTTTTTTCCTTTTGTTGTCTTTTAAAATCCAATTGTTGTTTCTACCAGTTTTAATGAACAAAAATGTTAAATTTTACTTGTTCTGTTTCAAAAAGTGAATTTTATTTGTGCTGTGGTTATAAAATCAAAGTTTTTCTCAATGTAATCATTTTTTTCACAGTCCTAATAAAAATTAAAATATAACACATTGAATCCAAGGATAAAAATTGTGTTAAATAAATTTAACAGGAATATCAATAGTATAGGTGGGAAACAACATAAGACAAGGGTAGAGCTTTTTCGTACCCTTGAAATAATCATTATCATGATTAGAAATAATCATAATTTTGATTAGAAATTATTTTTATATATTATTATTTCTTTTCTCGTTTTTATGATTTACACCACACAGGTGTACATATTATAATTACACCACACAGGTGTATATCTACACAAACCTATGAATAAATGTTGATAGGGTACTAGAACAAAATTTTTTGTTTACCTTTAAAAACACATTATAATATATAAATAATAGTAATAATTATAGAAGTAATATTGTAAACATTATAAAAAATAATATATGTAACAATAAATATAATAATACTATTAGAAAATTGTGGAAAAAAAAGTAAATTGAATTTTTACTTTAAAACAGTACATAACTATGTGAATTTTTGTATTTTATTTATAGCTTATTTTAAAGTGTATTGACCATCTATCTATCTCCACCTGTAACAACTTATTGTTTGAATTAATTGAACACTTTTGCTCAGGGAAATCACTCTTGTGGCCCCCATGTATAGCCACTCCTATAACTTTTGAACGAAATTTAAATGAGGTGCTTAATAAACTAACAGACTCAGAAGAACCCAATATACAATCATTTAAAAATGTTGCACAGCTGTGCCTTATTTCCCCATTTGTTGTACTTAAAGAAGTTGTTAACAGGTGTTTAAGAAAAGATTTAAAAGTTTCTATTTTAATTAAGGTAAGTTATTTTTATTTCTATTTTTATTTTTTTCATATTAAAGATTGATTGTTATTTTTGAATACATTTAGTTTTGTATAGATAGTTGAAAATATGCCTACCTTGCTTGAACTTTATGTTGTATCAGATGTTACCCAGTTTCCAGCAGTTACCAGTACTAGTATTGATGTGTCTGATGTTACACAATTACCAGCAGTGATTTATTTCAGCCATACTTTTCATGTTTTGCTATGTGAGAAATATAAATCAGAAAAGATCATGTATCAATTATTAGTTGGTTTGATTAATGTAAGTATTTTTTTTTTTTAAAAAGTATATTAAAAGTTTTATGTTTTAAAGAATTCATTGAAAAAGATATACTAATGACATATATTACGTAAAGACGTACTTGTTGATAAATAATAAGCGAGTAGGACCCTGGTATTGTTAGTGTTAGGATTATACATTTATGTTTAAATTTGTAATTTGTTCATATACCAGCAAATAATACACATAAATCCTTTTAAACATATATACTTGCTATTTATTTATATACCTGCATATAATATTCATATTTATGTATATAAACTTTAATTTAAATTTGTGCTATTTTTTATGTGTTTACATATATTATATGTACTGCTGCTTGATCAGCTTTAATTTTTACCATAAAACTCTGTTTATAAAAAAAGATTAATTTTTTTTAATTTTTTAGTTATGACCAGAGAAAGTTTAAAAACTTTACCATAATTTTTTTATTTAATTAATAGTTTGACTACCATTGGTATATGTATCAGCATTCCTCACATGTTCTACCTATTTGTCAGTAGATGTAGCAACACTGCTAAGATGTTCTACCTACTTTTCAGTTGATGTAGCAACACTTTTTGTATGTTCTACCTTATTATGAGTCAATGTAGCAACACTCCTTGCATGTTCTAATTATTTGTTAGTCAATTTAGCAACACTCCTCACATTTTTTACCTAGTTCTTGATGTTTCTTACCTCTGATATAAAAGGAGTGGGAATTGCCTCTGTTATATAAGGAGAGGAAAAACTTGCCTCTGATATATAAGGAGTGGGAATGAAAATGTTATCATTTAGAAATATAAATGTTAGTTTTTACTAATGAAAATTAACACTTAAAAAACCATCATTTCAAATCTTAGATCTGTTTAGTTGAAGTAAATGAATTACTATTATGGGTTATAACCCTCACTCAAGTCTATAGCTCTGAAACACGAACCTTGGCAAACAAGGCCACTGCGCGAAGAAACAAGTTGAGCGCAGTACTACCAGGGACATGGTAGGGATCGAACTCGGAACCTCTTGCTTATAAAGCGAGCACTTTATCACTACTGCATTGATATGTGATGACTTAAGTTTCTCAAAGCATTTAATCTCAACATTGATTTTTTAATAATTGATTCTTAATAAATTTATAATAATTTTGAATAATTCTTAATAATTTGTTCTTCTCTAATTTTTTTTTTCTCTTAATAATAATAAGATATTAACAAAACAATAGAAAAAATCTTGAGAAAAAAATAATATAAAGAAAATATTGAAAAATAAATAACTTTTTAGATTTTGAACAATTGATTTTTTTAGACAATGATAAAGAAAATATTTTTAATAACTTTTTTGTTGTTTTGCAAAAGTATGTTTAGGTTTGTTAAAATGTTTTGATAAAAAAAAAAAATCTTGTTTTGAAACACTTGGTTATATTTTTATTTTGAAACACTTGGTTATATTTTTATATTTATAAATATTATATTTTTGAAAAGAAAAATATCAAAAGATGGATATCAAGAAACACAGATTATTTTAGGCTAAAACTTTGGGGGATTTGTTTTTCACTGTTGTAAAGCAACCTATCTTATCAAAAATCTGTAGACTTTTTTAAATTATTTGGCATGGAATATCCCATATAAATTTTAAATTAATTTTTCCAGCACTAAGAGTGTTTTAAGACAAAATTTCTTTAGAAGTCTTAACAGTCATTATTTTACTCATTGTAAGATATTGTTCTTTATATGCTTGAACGATTTTTGTTGGTAATGTTATACTATTAAATGTTGATGTTAATTAAATATATTGTTTACTTATGTGTTAAATGTATTATGTATTTTGTGGTTTATAGTATTTATTATTTTAGTAACAATCAACAATAATGTTTTTAAATCTGAAAAAAATTATTTATTTTAGTCATCTTTAAGAAGATTTTTCCATCAAATTAAATTTTTTTTTCTAAAAATATTTTGCTTAAAAGTAAATAAAAAACGTTGCTAACAAATTTAATTTTTTTACATAATTTTCTGATATTAAATTTACCTAGTTTTTTTAAATTTAATTTTCAAAAATACATTATTTTTAACAAGGTTAATTTAAATTGTTATTTAAAGATTAATTAAAATTTACAGCTTTGTAAAAATTATAAAAACGTAAAACCAAAACAACTTTTACAAGTGTTTTGATTGTTGTTTTAAATTTTTATGTATGTAATAATATCATCTTTGTTTCATTTTTGTTCATGTCTTTCTAGTTTATATTGTTTGTATTATCCATCAAACTATAAAATTAATTTAAATTTAAGAAATAAAAACTTATAAAGTTAAATAAAATGATTGAATAATAATTTTTTATTAAAGGATTCTAGTAGTGTCAAACTTTTAAAGTCAATAGTGATATGGTTTATTTATCCTTCTCTGAATGGAAGTGTGACGTCATACAATTTAAACTTCTCTTTGGAATTACTTGAAGCTTTTTCAGTTTTTAAAAAGATATGGAACATTGGAGAAATTTTAAAAGTTATCAAACTTCTTTTAAGTTTTGTAGAAAAAGAAGCCACTGTTGATCTTGTGTACAAAAACTTAATATCAATGATAGGTCTGCTTACTTATCAGTACGAATTGTGTGCTATTGATGATAGTGTTACTGTTCAGCTTAAAACCTTGGCAAAGACTCTAAGTATGTAGATATGTTGCAATTTTTGTTTATTTTAAATAATTTTGCTCAAAACATTTTATAATTATTTTTGTGTTGGTTTTTTTTAGAATGGTTTAATTCCTTCTATTTCTATAAGCTATTTAAACAATATAAAGTTTTTCATCCATTTTGTGTTCCTCAATCTGTTCTTGCATTCAGTGATATAAATAATCAATTATATGAATCTGTAGTTGACCCATTGTATAACACAGGTAGGTTTTTACGGTCCATAGATAATATGGGTAATATAGGTAATATGAGATCCTTATAGATAGATGGTAAAGTATTTCCCTATAAATACTATAGCATTTCATTGGAAAATTAAAAATTCAACAATAAGCAGTGAATTTTGAATTTTTTTTTTTTTTTTTTTTTTTTTTTTTCTTCAGATGAAGGAAAGTGGCAGGGGTTAATTGAGATATTTGTTGCTTGTCAAGAATCTGGAGAAACTTTTATTGAAAAAATTCCGACAACATCCATTGATGATGAAATTCAATCAATTATTGAAGCTGTTGTCAATGTATATTTTGAAGATTTTATGACATGGCGATTATTATGCTTTGATAATACAAAAAACAGTTTTATGTGTTATTATTATTAAATATAAATCTTTGTTTCTTTTAATTGTTTCAAATAAAATATCTGTACATTAGATTTTTGGAAAAGGCATATGTTTTTATAAGGCAAAACTTGTCGTGGCCAGCTTGAAAAAGTTAATACAAAAAAGCAAAATTGAGGTAAACAGTTTTTTATATTATTGTTTTTGTTTAAGGCTTTATCTTAATGTAGTTAATAATGTACTAATATTTAATTTTTTTAAAAAATTTTGAAATGTTAAAGTTAAACTTAATATTCATATTTTAATTTTTTTATTGAAATTATTTTTTTAATTATTCTTTTTTATTGGCTATATTTTGCTGTGTGTTATATATATAAATATATATATATATATATATATATATATATATATAAATATATATATATATATATATATATATATATATATATATATATATATATATATATATATATATATATATATATATATATATATATATATATATTTACAGGGTGTTACATCATTTGTAAGTGAAGATCTTCAAAATGGTATGTTATTTTTGCGATTTTTAGTGAAAAAATAGCTTAAGTTTAGAGCTTGTTAGAAAAACCAGTAGTCAATTCTGAGCTTTGGAAAAAAAAAATTTGAAAAGATTTAATTAAAATTATTTATGAGAAACTTATTTTAAAAAACCTATCCATCTATTATCATAAAGACCTTTTAGAGTGTAATTTAAAAAAAAATTTATATACACATATATATATATATATATATATATATATATATATATATATATATATATATATATATATATATATATATATATATATATATATATATATATATATATATATATATATATATATATATGTATATATATATATATATATATATATATATATATATATATATATATATATATATCAAAACACAAAACAGTACATTAAAAAAATAAAATTTAGTTAACAAAATACAGTAGAAGAATACTTCAGTTGTCAGGTACTTCACTTGTTATGGTAGACATGGTATAAAAGTAAAATAACAAGTATTTATCTCCGTTTATTCCAAAAATTACAACACTACTAATGACTACTAATTATTTGACTCTTTCTTTTTCTTCCCCTCTCCCCCATTGCTTTTTCTAACATGTGCACACGTTATAACACAAAAGGTATAGTTAAAAATGTCAAGTTATTGGCACTAATAAAAATTATCTAAAAGTCTTTTAAAAATAAAATTTGACTTCTCTAGCTTTTTTACAAGATCTTCTTACCATAATTAGCAAAGTCATTGCGTCTTTAATTAACAAACTTCTAATATCATATCATAAATCCCACAACTTACTACTAAACAATCTATACAGATTTTGATCTTCTCACTCTACTACTGATTTGTTAACTGTAACAACTGAAAGCTTTTAAAATATTTTAGATCAAATCAATCAGACAATAGCTTTTGACATATTGATGGCTTTTGATTTTTCATGGTGTACTTGAAAAAAATGTTAAAATTAGTGAATTGATTCTTTCTAACCACATTAAAGATGTCCTAGATGCTCTACACTTTTTTTAATTTTTAGTAGTAATTAAACACAGGACTAAGGTTTTGCAATTGGCTCATTATTTTTTCTGGTAATCTCATCTTTAATGGTTCTATTTGCTGATGACACAACAATATACTCCAGGAGTGATCAAATCATCTTTTTTTGATCAATTAGAACAATTGGCAGCCAATCTCTAATATGATTATGAGCCAATCTTTACTTCTATGAAATAAAATAATGAGACAATATCTACTTCTATGAAAGCTAGTGGATTACAGTGGCTGGTATTCCATGGTAACCCATTTTGATTGTTGATAGTTATTGCAATATTTTTGATATATCTATTAATAAAAGTTTTTTAGTCTTCTATTTTATGTTTTCTCAGATTATCCTTCACTAATTTCCTCTTACAGAAACCATATACCAATCACAAAGTTACTATCTGCTTATCTGAAGGTTGCCTCTTTATATTTACTTACCATTTTCTTATTTCTGATTTCATTCTCTACCTTTATAAATCTCTTATTTCTCATTTTTATTCCTATATTTTTAAAAAACTGCAATAACTAAAACTAGAAAGTTTTTTAATTAATGATTTTATGTTTTTGTTTTTATTGTTTTATACTGTTTATATATATATATATATATATATATATATATATATATATATATATATATATATATATATATATATATATATATATTAGGGCTGTACCGAATTTCGGCTCCGGCTCCTGCTCCGGCCGAAATCCGGCCATTTTTACAAATCCGGCCCAAATCCGGCTCCGGCAAAATGTTAGCAAATCTGGCATAATTTTGGCCGGATTTCTGGATGTTTATTACATCTTTCTTTCCCGTGAAAACATGTATACATAATACTTAATTTTTGAACTTCATGTTTGTTTTGGTGTCTGTATTTACATTTTTTTACAATTTAATTAGCTAAGCCTAATTTCAAACAAGAACGCAACAAAAAATTCTGAAGAGAAGACACACGATATTCTGCAATAATGCAGGTGTAAAGACTATGAAGTCAATCCTAATCAACTCATTAGATGAGCGTTTCAAAGGCATTGAGGAGAAACCTTTTTAGATTGAAAAAAATAAAGAAAATCCAGCAAAACAATCCCTGCTGGATAATTCTTATACATTATCATCATTACAATGGCAATATATATAGATGAAATTATTCATTCTACGCCCGCTTGTGGCACAGCACATGAACAACAATTACCAACAGGCATTGACACTCAGCTAAGCCAATATCTGGAAGAATCAGAAATATATAGACACGCTGATTCACTACAGTGGCAGAGTGACAACATCCCGGGAAAAAAAGTTCTGTAAAATTTCTCTAAATTTTTGAAACATATGGCCTATAGAAACTCTATAAAATTTATATAAAATGTCTATTAATTTCTATAGAAATTGCTATAAAACTTTTAAACAACAAAAATGATGTTTAATAGAAAACAACCCGACGGGCATTTGTTTTTAAAAGTTACGTTCTGAATGTGTTTTAAATGTCTTTTAAACGTCTTTTAAACATTAATGTTTAAAAGACGTTTAAAAGACATTTAAAATACATTTAGATCGTAACTTTTAAAAAGAAATGCCCGTCGGGAACTGTCACTTGATGATCTAAATAGTCAACATTGTAGACCATTTTCAACACCAAGTAGGGATATACAGGATTTTGGTTCCTGTAGTTTTGCTTCAAAATCCGGCTCCGGCTCCCGATTCCGGCCGGATCTGTTAGTAAAAATCCGGCAAATCCGGCTCCGGCCGGATTTGGAAAAATTAAATCCGGTACAGCCCTAATATATATATATATATATATATATATATATATATATATATATATATATATATATATATATATATATATATATATATATATATATATATATATATAATATTTTGTTTTGCAAAAAAAAATATTCAGCAAAAAAGTTAATAAAAAACTTTTATGTATTTATTTTACCAGCAAATGAAACTCATGATACTTGCTTCTCGTTTCTTGTGATGGTTCAAACATATACATCTGTTTTCTTAAAGGATACTTTTGATAGTGTTGCTACAGCAGTTCTATTGAAAATTCTTCATCAGTTTTTTGTTAATGCTAAAGAAATTAGAAAGTCACAGGTAATTTAGCAAAATTTGAATAATAACTTTAGAGATGTTTTTTAATGATGTCATACAATTTGAATTAATTTTTTAACCCTTCTCTTCCCCCTCCCTTAACCTCCCTTCAATATCCCTTAAATGTCATATTATGACATTGTATATACATTCCATTGACTATTTCCTTTAATCATTGTGGTGGGCACTTTTGTTATCTCACAAAAGTTAAATTAAGTAATGCTAAAACAATGTTATTGCAACAATAAAAATAAAAAAAATAAAAGAATTGCAACAACAAAAGTTGACTCTAACTTGAAGTATTTTTGCTTTAAATTATTCTTTTACTGCAACAACAATCATAAAACTTTTTTTAATAATGTGATTGGTTAAAAAGTTATGTTTTGCATTATGTACCTTCATTGTTGATTTGCAAAACATTTATTAACTATGTTTTTTTTTTTTAAATAAAATTTATTATTATGATTTGTTATGCAACTCATATCTTAGTGAACTTGAAAAATAATTTTGAAAAGTTTGTTGTTTGTTGTGCTCTGTGATAAAAACATTATTATTATTATTATTAAGTTAGGTTATTGTAGTGTTATTATTATTAAATTAGTTATTATGGTATTGTTATTATTATTAAACATTGTTGTAATTAAATATAGTATAGTATTATAGTATTATTATTATTAAATTAGCAGTTTCATGTATTTTAACTTTTATTAAACTTTTAGTATTTTAACTTATATTAATTATTGCTTGACTAAAAAGTTGCTATTTTTATATTTTACACTGATCATTTTGGAGTACCTGAGGGATTTGAGAAGAATTCTTTAAATAAAGAATTAAGTTTTTACCAATCAAAACTAAAGACCAATCAGTTGCAGTTGGCAAAGTCATCCAGCATTTTGAAAGTATTTGATAAGATGCATGAATGCAATATATGCCGTTTAAACAATTAAAAAATTTAATTTAATTTTTAATTAACATGACAGGTTAATTTGGAATCAGAAGTTTGGTAATATAAAAATTTATTATGTAAAAAAAAATGCTTAATTTAAAATTCATTAAAATAAAAAATAAAAATCTTTTTTATTTTAATGAGTTTTCAATTTAGAGAAAGAGAATGCTTTCAAATGAGCCACCAACATGAAACAGTACATAGAAACAAGTTAGGTGGAATCCAACAAAATGTAACAGTACATAAAACAAGTTAGGTGGAAGCCAACAACATGTAACAGTACATAAAACAAGTTATTGATTCACTATAATAGTAAAAGTTATTAATTCTTCAAGCACTCTAGAAGCTTTATATAATGTTTCTTATATTTTATGTCTATATCCATCTTTTGAAGTGCATAAGATGTTGCAGTTTATTAATAATAAGATAACTTACTTTGCAAATTAAAGAGATTTAGTTAACTTTTATGCACTGAAATAAAGTTATAGGTTTGCTGGAACATCAATAAATCTTTAACTAATGGCAAAATATTATTTACACGTTTATTTTATGTGATTATTTACATGGCACTTATTTACATGTATTTTGTGAAAACACAGTTGCAGCTTTATAGGGATACAAGAAATACACTTTAGTTTTTTATTTATTTTTTTTTTCATTATCTGATTATTTTATCTTGCAATTTCTCTATCAATAAAAAATAAATAATAACTAAATAATTTCAATTAAAAATGTGTTTATCCAACTTTACAAGTTTATCAAAAATTTGTTAATTAAGTTTATCAAAAAAATTTGTTTTTGTTGTTTAAAAAACCTCAAGCAACTTATTTTGTAATAATGATTTAATAATTTTTTTTTTTTAAATTTTACTGATTACTTAGCAACAGCTATATATAGCTTGATTTTAAGGGTTTTATGTTGAATTTCAAGGGACATGAGGGTTTTTTTTTTTCAGATTCTATTAATATGTATATTTGCAAGCTGGAATGTGTTGAAAATAAAATTCTAAGCATTCCTTCTTTGTCCAAAATTGATATTTTCCGAAATCCAGAAAATAATGTTTTTAAACATTATTTTCTGGATTTCTCTTATTATAAATATCATAGAAAACCACACGGCCACCATCTTCAAAATGTGGTTAATTTAATATATAATCATAATTTTAATGGTTTGACAAGGCTCAAGTGCTACTATAATTATTTGTTCTGGCCGTTCTATACATCACAGGTTTCAAAGCAAAATAAAATGCATAGAAAACTTCTTTTTTTTCCAAATTAAACAATGAAATCATATATATTACATAAATTAGATAAAACATACATGTATTTAATTAGTTTAAGTTCTCATAGGGCTGTAGATGGAAGCCACTTTTTTGTGCTTCAATCCGTGTTTTTGTTAATCATATGTATGTATTTGTGTGTATATATATATATATATATATACATACATACATACATACATACATACATACATACATACATACATATGATTGTTACATGTTCTAAACTTTTGCAAGGTTTCAATGCAAAGATATAACTGAATTGGTGTTACCAGCATCATTTCATCCAATAATTTGAGAACTTTATCACAGTTGGATCCATCCAATCCACCACCATTATTTCCATGCCACATTACTGTATTTTTGTCAAAAAAAGGTTTCAGACCCTCATTGACAAAAAGAATGTTAATAATTTTTGTTACAACATGCTCATACATGTTAAGTTCAGGAGGAGGGATGGTATCAAGAATAAATTTATGGGATCTTCCTCAAGCAAACAGGGGGTATATATGTTATTGAACAATTTCATAGTCTTATAATGGTATGCTGCATATTGGTACCAATAGTAATCTGAAATTAAGACAAAAGTTCTAACGAGCTAATTGTACCAGTACAGTAAAACAAGAAGCATGTTTTTCACCATGACTCTATAATAAATTGTTTTGTTATTCTAAGATTTAATGTTTTAATTGTAAAAAATTATTTAAATAAAAAATTTGGCATTATTTCTAACTGATATGCCAAGAAGTACGTTTATGAGCTTTAGGTCAGAAGCCACAAAAACGTTGAGCTGATTTAGATTAATTAATTTAATAACCATTCTAAGATTATGGTTATTCTCCTTAAAATTATGTGCGAAAGCCAGAATTATAATCTTGTTCAATACTGAGTCTTTCTTATTTCTACTTTGGTCATCTAACTTTGCTTTATCAAAAATATTCATTATTACCTGAAATTTAATTACCGTTGAATAATAATTCTAATTTTATTTCTTTTATTTGCATAATATGAAAATGGTTAAGTTACTAAACTTTCAGTGAACCCTGCCCTCCAACACTTCATAACCATACGAATTGAATTCTTTTTAAGACCTAGTTGTAAAATTACAACTAGGTCTTAAAAACTCTTTTACAAATGTTCGCGGTCTACGAAGCAACTTTCCGTCAGTTGAGTCTTACCTCCTGCAAAATTCACCAGACTTGCTTGCACTCAGTGAAACAAATTTAAATTCTGCAATTCCTTCTTCAGATGTCAGTGTTGATGGGTACTATCCTTTGATTCGTAAAGACTCCAATAGTCACATGCTAAGTTTAGGGGTATACATACGCATTAATTCCCCTATTTGTCATGAAATCAGGTTCGAATCCTTTGACCATTCTTTTATGTGCTTTCGCTTAGCACCTATTCACTCTATCACCTTTCTCTTTGTTCTTTATCGTTCTCCTTCTTCCCATGATTGCACTCTTTTAGATGTTATCTCTGATCAAATTGACCATGCCCTCTCTCTTTACCCCTCTGCCAATATTGTTGTTGTTGGTGATTTTAATGCCCATCACACTGAATGACTTGGCTCTAGCACCACTGATCCTGCTGGCACTAAAGCCTCTAACTTCTGCGTTTCTCAATCTCTTACTCAGATAGTTAACTTTGTGACTCGTTTTCCTGACAACCCTAATCATTTACCTTCACTCCTTGACTTATGTCTTGTCTCTGACCCTAGCTTATGTTCAGTTTCTCCCTTTTCTCCCTTAGGTGGTTCTGACCATGCAATGATCTCTATAAATCTATCTTCTCGTACTTCTTTTTTGGGCTCACCTTATCATCGCACCACCTACCACTACCCTAAAGCTGACTGGGATTTTTTTCGTGATTTTCTTCGTGATGGTCCTTGGGCTGATGTTTTTTCTCTCTCAGCTGACAAATGCGTCTCCTACGTAACCTCCTGGATTCAGGCTGGAATGGAAGCTTTTATTCCTTCTCGTTGGTTTCAAGTCAAGCCTCATTCTACTCCATGGTTTTCTCCTTCTTGTGCGGCTGCTATATCCAATCGTAATCATTTTTTTCATCTTTTTCAAAAGAACAACTCTATCGAGAACAAACGGCTATTTATCATTGCAAGAAATCGATATAAAGAGGTGCTTTCTGATGCTAAACTCCATTATTCTCAGTTCACTAAATCTCGTATCTTATCGCAGAAGTTAGGCTCTAAAGACTTTTGGAAAATCTTCAACAGCATTATTAACAAGGGTAGATCTAACATTCCATCTCTTATTCATGGGACTGATCTTATTAACTCTCCCAAGGATAAGGCAGAACTATTTGCAAAGAACTTTTCTTCTAATTCCACTCTTGAATCTTATGGACATTCTCTTCCTTCCATTCCAGTCAAACAGGTTGACCCATTGTTAGACATTCAAATCACTCCGGCTTCTGTTGCTAAAGTCATATCTCAATTAAACTCGTCTACAGCTTGTGGTCCAGACAACATTCCTGTCACAGTCTTGCAGAATTGTTCTCCAGTTTTAACAAGTGTTTGACTGAGTCTTGTTTTCCTGCTTGTTGGAAAATGGTATCTGTGGTTCCAATATTCAAAAACTCTGGAGAAAATTCTGACCCCTCCAATTATCGTCCGATCAGTCTTCTTTCTGTTATTAGCAAGGTCTTTGAGTCTTTGATCAACAAGTTCCTCACATCTCATCTTGAGTCAAATAAACTACTGTCAGACAATCAATACGGTTTTCGATCCTCTCGCTCTACGGCCGACTTGCTAACTACTGTAACTGAAAGATTTTATCGTGCATTAGATGGAGGCGGTGAGGCTAGGGCTATTGCTCTCGAAATATCTAAAGCTTTTGGCAAAGTTTACTATACTGGTCTTCTTCATAAGCTTGCTTATGAGTGTTTCTGGGAAAGTTTTTGAGATTATCAAATCATTTCTTTCTAACCGGTTTATTAAAGTCATCCTTGAAGGCCAACACTCTTCTTTATTTCCAGTAACTTCTGGGGTTCCCCAAGGTTCTATCCTGGGCCCTGTTTTGTTTCTTATCTACATAAACGATCTTCCTGACAACCTTTCATCTAAAGTAGCTCTTTTTGCTGATGACTCAACTTTATACTTCTGTCTTGACAAAAAGTTTTCTCTTTTCGATCGCCTAGAACAAGCAGCTGATCTTGAATCTGATCTCACTTCAGTAATAGATTGGGGTTCACAGTGGCTTGTGAATTTCAACTCTAAAAAAACGCAATTGCTTACTGCAAACAACTACCGTAATATGGTCAACATTCCTATATTAATGAATGGCAATCCTCTTACTGAGTCCTCCTCTTTACGTCTTCTTGGATTATCGCCTATTACTGACCTTTCATATGTATATATATATATATATATATATATATATATATATATATATATATATATATATATATATATATATATATATATATATATATATATATATATATATACATATACATACATACATATATATAAAATATATACATAACACTCATTCTGCACAGATTGTTTTCAACTATATATATATATATATATATATATATATATATATATATATATATATATATATATATATATATATATATATATATATAGATAGATAGATAGATATATATATATAATATATATATATATATATATATATATATATATATATATGTATATATATATATATATATATATATACATTATATATACATATGTTTTTTAAGTATTATATATATATATATATATATATATATATATATATATATATATATGTATATATATTTTATATATATATATATATATATATATATATATATATATATATATATTAAGTATTATATATATCTATGTATATATATATTTTAAATATTATATATATATATAATACTTAAAAAAAAGGTCACTAATTATATTAAACTATGTTTTGGTTTAAGTATATTTAATAAAATCAAATAATTAGGCTTTACATTAAAGGGTTTCATTTTTGAGACATCCTTTCTCTAATTCTATTCCCAACCCCTTTGTTAAAACTGACACAAGTTCTTGAGTCTTCTATATCCTTCTAAATGGATGTGTGACATGGTTAAAAAACGTCTCTTTTGAGAAAATGGATCAATAAAATATTACATCTATGTATAAAAAATTTATTCTTTTCGGTATATTTTTTCAACATTAAAATTGCAAAATTTAATAATCATTTTTATCTTTGTTTAGGTTGTTATTTTTTTATGTCTTTACTTTTTCGAACAACTTATTTATGCTGTTGCAATGCTTAGCGATAAATCAATGGGCCATCTTGAACTTCTCCTTGTAGAATTGTTAAGGTTTATTTTAAGTTGTCTAAAACAGTTAAATGATAAGACAATTGCTTCAAAGGTTTTATTGAAATGCGAAGAAACATTATCCATGATAAACACAAATCATGTAATAAATGAAATTTTTTCAAGCGAAAAAAAATTATTTATATGAATTTTTAATTACTTTGTTTTTGTTTTTTTATTATTATTTTTATTATTATGATTTAATTTTTTATTTATATATTTTTTGCGCTCTTCAATATTCCACTTATACTATCTGATTAATATTCATGTAGACTTCAAAGTACCATACAATAAAACGCACAATACCAATGTATCAACTAGGGATGCACCGAACGTTCGGCAAAACGTTCGGCTGTTTTGCCGAACGTTCGGTTCGGCCGAACCTTGACAAATGTTCGGCCGAACATTTGCTAAAAATGCTAATTTGGAAATTAGTATCATCAAATCATCATAACTCAGCCTAAATAGCTACAGTACCAATAGATATGGCTTTTTATTGAAAACCCGATTCTTATCTACAGCGCATAGTAGGTAAGAATATGTTTTTCAATAGAACTCATAAATACGTTAGATTTACATCAAATTTTTTGAATTTAGAATAAATTGAATTTGATCGCATGTATTACTTAAAACCGAATGTATTACGTAAAACTAGTTTACATCATTTAGAAAAAATAGTACTAGTATAAGTGTAAAATGAAAAATCCTTTCAATTGAGCAATATTTTAGTTAATTTTATCCTTTTATATACAATAATAATAATAATTAAACTTAACTTAAGTTATAAAATTCATGCAAGAAGCAAATTTTTTATTTTGGAAAAATCGCAAAAATGTAATATAAAATAAACTTAAAATAACAGATAGAAACGTCCGTTTTAAGTGGCGCCTATTGCTGCTGTGTTAAAAAAAATATCTTTATAAAGAAAGTTGCTCGTAATTTGGCTACTCAACTAGTTGAACTGAGAAAATTATTTGAAAGGAATAAACTTAGGGAAAAATGTTATTGTGGTGATCAAAAACATAAAAATGCTCCAATTTATTATGTAGTTATTACTATATGACATTATAACATATACTATTATGTTATTATTATATAACTAAACATGCAATAGTATTAAAACTAGACAAATCAACAATTTTAAACTTTCACCTAACAAAATAATCGATTATTGAAAAAATAAAACATTAAAAACATAAGTGAAAATCAATTATCATTTGTTTTCCTCAAGTTATAATGAATACACATTAATTTTTCGCCACTTTCCGGTGATAGTCTGTTTCTATTGGGTTCGCAAATGATGTGACCTGTACTAAAAAGTCTTTCACTTTCAACAGAAGACGGTGGGGCTGAAAGAAACTTTTGGGTAATTTTCTTTAAATTTTTGAAAGAGTTTCCACAATTTTTCCACCACAAGAGAGGACTTTCTTTTTCCTTGACAAGAGGTAGCTTTAAATACTCTTCAATCTCCTTGTTTATCATTTGTATATTAGAGTTTGATCTTTTTAACCTTTTGCTATTTTCAGTATTTACAAAATTGGAATCACATTCATCTATAGTTATCAGTTTAGAAACTTTCTGAAAACGTTCATTGAATTTTGGATAAGCTGGTTTTGCAATTACTTCATTTGTGTTATGTACTGAAGGTCCGTCAAAATCAGAATCAGAGGATTCAAGTTCTAAATTACTTTGTTGCATTTCACCAAAAAACAAATCATAATTTATTTTTTAATTTTTATTTAATGTTGTCAACCATTGTTAAAAAATTCAGAACCCCCCCCCCCCTATTTTGTTGACGTAATTAATGGACAGCCCCAAATCATTATTTATTTTTTAATTTTTATTTAATCGAATATATTTTTCTGGTAAAAAAATGATAATAAATTTTATAAAATAGACAATAACTTTTGCTTTCATTTCTTACTTTTTGTAAAATGATAATTTAAAAAAAGTATTTCTCTATTTCTTCTCTCATTTAATATTGTTTGTAACATAAAGTACTCAACATAATACTAAATATATATTTTATTATTGTGAAATTTATCACGTAATATTATTTATAAAGTAATTTAGCATTCTATATTGGGTCATATCTCACTGTACAACTCGAGTATGAAGATTTCAGTTGTAGCCATGGTCTTATAATGCTTTTTTTTTTAATGATTTTAATACATTTATTAGACAAATAATTTTTTTCTTAGATGGGTCCTATAACATATTTAAAACCATTTGATGCGATTATCATTACAAGTTCCCAATCTTTAGGCGCTCTGTTATTTTTCAATGTTTAAATGATTACACAGACAGTTAATAAAAACGAATTTTTGTGGCTTATTTGAGGCAACTTGCGACAAATCTATTAAAGTATACTCATGAGAAAAGACGAATTGTGACAAATGTATTAAAATATACACATGAGAAGTTAAAAAAAGTTTAATTTGTTTAATTTGAATAATCAAGTTAAACAAGATGATATCGGTATATGTTTGAATAATCTAAACAAACCCAGTGGGCACGAGCGTCTTTTGAACGTCTTTGAAACGACCTGAACATGTTTTAAACGTTCAAAAATCTTTTTTTAGGTCACGTGCTCACTGGGAAGCTGCTTACAGACGTAACTTAAAAAAATGCTGACATTTTGTGATGTTGATTTAAGAAATGTTTTGAGAAAAAACTGGAAACGATAAATACTTTACAAGCATAATTAAAATTGGTTTGTCGTTAAAGAAAAGATTATTATCTTTTCTTTAACGACAAAGTTGCCCCTCATTTAAGCCCCTTAAGATAAATTAGGCTCTTTGATCACGCAAAATTTTTAAACTACGGAGTGCCGTTTGAATGAAAATCAAGTTGAGCTCAAAATGCACTTCAAAGCTTTAGATTTTATATATATGAGAGATAGGCTTTTCAGAACATATTAGTTTACAGTTAGCTTTTAAAAGTTTTTGAAGTCTTAATTATAAATGCGACTCTGATGTGTAACACATAAACCAGCTTATTATAATGTATAGTCTAAAATGTATATATAGTAAAAAATAAGTATATAAAATTTGATTTTTAATTTTAATGAAAGCGGCCTTTCATCTGTGCCAAGTGGATTCGTTTAAAGGGCTCTCGTGAGGTATAAAAGTTAATTATTGGTAAACTTGGCACAAAAGTAACATACCTGGCCACTGTACTGCAGCAGGAGACAGCTTACCACCATTTTTCATTTGAATTAGCAATAGAGATAGATATTGAAAAAATATGCATTCCACTTCATAGTACACATTGCCTTCAACCACTTGACACAAGTTAACAAAGTAGTTAAACATATGAGGTCTAAGACTTTGTCTAATTGCTTAGCTGAAAATGATGATATTTACATGCTTCGTTGCAAGTTTCACATTATTTTTTACAAAATATGGCCCGGCATACATACAAAAAAAGGATAGGTTGTTAATGCGTTTTACCATTGCGGTTTGCATTTTCTAAGAAACTCAGTGAAAGAATTCGAATACAAAAAAACAGAGGTGATTAACAAAACAATAATTCACCAGGGAGACCCAAATTTACCTATTTAAAGGACCATTGTATTTTTTTTGAATTAAAAAAGCAAACCTACTCACTCAAAACGCCATATTGCCCTTATTGCATCATCAGATAAGGTGTTGTGATAAGGCAAATATTGTCTTCTTTAGTCCCGGTTATGTATATTTTATCTATATAACACGGCATTGAAATATTTTTTTTTAATGAAAAATAAATAATAAATGAAATGAATAAAATAGATAATGCTAAGTTTATAAAGACGCCTCATGCTAAAAAGGCTCCAATAAAAAATATGGTCAGTGTTAAACAGAAGTCAAAAAAAAAAAAAGATAAATCAGTCAAAACAAAAACAAAGAAAACTTATTTTTCAGCTGATTTTGATTACCCAAGTTTATCTAGTAGTTTTATTCAACAAAAAAAAAGGTTAATAAAGAATTTTGTAATTTGTATCAGCTTTGCGTCTCCTTAAAAAAAAGGTTCCTCAATTTCTAAGATATTTTAGGACTATCAGATTTCGTGAGGGGAGGGGGAGTAAATCCATAACCTCCATCACCTTTCCCCCTCTAGATCTGTCACTAATTCTAGTGCGTAAAATATCTAAATATTTTACGTATTTATTAACTGCTCGATCTTTTTATTTAGAAAACATTTGATTTAGGAACATTTTCTTTTAACACGTGTTAATGTGTTGATGACAATGTTTCTAAACCAAACTTTTAACACGTGTTAATGTGTTAATGACAATGTTTCTAAACCAAAAGATATTTTATTATTATAAGTAGTAGTAATATTAGGTGCTCCTAGAAGTATTAACGGTCTTATCACAGAGCACCACTGTACAACGATAGAGCAATAAATAAAAAATAAATAAATTAGTAACGTAGCATAAAAATTTAGAATTATATCTATAGAAACAACTGTACAGTTGTTTCTACTATTTTAGATGCTTTTTCAAAGGTTTAAGTGTAGACTATTAGTATTTTCAAACATTGATGGTAGCAAAATACAATATTTTTTTAGCTAAATAAATATGGTTAATTTCTTATATAAATTTCAGTATCTCATAACATACTGTAAAGAAGTTGAACTTTACTTTTTTAATAAAATTATATATAAACTAATTATGTCAACTCTTTTTTTTGTTTAGTACTGCAAAAAAATATAATAAGAATGTTATTTGTATGAAATATGATCATAATATACAGAGGCGGATTATAAATGAGGTATTTGAAGCACGTGCTTTTAGCCCCAAACTGTTAACACTTTTGGGGGCTAGAAGCACGTGCCTCATAACATCACTTTTTGAAATAGCACTTTTATGTACTTGAAGTATTTAAAATCATGTGCCAAAAAAAGAACAAGAAAGCAAGAACAATTTCCGTAATAATATATGTTCCCTTCTAACAACAGTTACAAAACTCCGTAACAGCCATGAGTTGACTCTGTTGAGAGTTAAAATTATTGAAAATGTAGCATGCTCATCTAAAATGGAAACTTTTTTCCATTGTACAACAGTCCAGAACCAGAAAGTTAAGATAAATGTGAAATCAAAGAAGTTTAAAATCAAGAACCAGTTGATCTTAAACCGGCAACAGCTGAAGCAGACGTTGACACTGAACATGTAAAAAATCAAGCAGTGGTAGACCTACCAATTATTTATAAAACTGATCTGGGTTTATGAAAAACAGTTTCATTAAACATGCAGTTTCATCTTATCAGCACCTGGCTTTGCTACTCACCATCAAGGGCATGTTTATTGTTCCGAGTGTAAGCTTTTGTTATCGGATATGAAAAATAATTTTTATTTTACACAAGGTTTTAATCATTAGAAAAATGGACAACGTGATGTAAGTATGGCAACCCCAGGTCGTGGCAAAACATCATACTTATCTTCTACTGTCTGCGATGAACTTATCAATTTGATGGGTAAAAAAGTACTTCTTTTTATTGTTGATGAAATGCGAAAAGCAAAATACTACAATGTGTTAATCGGTTCAATTGGTACCTGACTTATCGTACGTCAATTAGTTGTCTGTGGCAGTTCCTTATGTAAAGAAAGGTGAACCAATTTATCGTTTTTCGACATTTATTAAATTTGAAAGTCACACGAGAATTGGATTATCAAATGCATTACTGGAGTTCTTAGAAAATATCATATTGAAAATGTCGTGTTCAGACGTATGATAATGCATTGAATATGTATGGATGTTACAATGGTGTTAAGGGTCATATTTTATTTGTTTGTCAAAATGCTATGTACACACTTTGCTTTTCTCATTCATTAAATTTATTTGGCAAAAACAGGGTTAACAACACGGGTTTTGAAGTGGGGAGGGGCACAATCATCAGTTTGTGAAAAAAGTACTCCATATCTAGATTTTTCTTTAAAAAAATAAAAAGGTGGTCCTCGGCCCTGAAAAATGTTGTTACTTTATGTAGTGCAGCAGTTGGTTTTTTTAATATTGCGCAACTGAACGACAAACTCTTTAGTGCCTCCACTCATCGATGAACAATCCTGACAAAAGAGCTAACTAAAGACAAGGCATAAGTGCCTAAATAACTATTAGACAAACGTTGCCTAAAACATCCTAATGCAACAAGTACTTGGCAAAAGGGTTACAAGAATATTTTATCTGCTCTAGATATTATTGCAACCGATGAACGTACAAAAATAAAACTCGGCAAAATTGCAAGTGACGCTTGGACTAGCAAAACTTCTTGGTGAATTGGAAACTGGTACTTTGACTGTCTGTTTAAGACACGATACTGCAAAGATTCAATAAAACAAGTCAAGTTTTATAAGGCGTCACTTTAGATTTGAATAAAGCTATTAGTTTGTTGCATTCATTGTCTGAGTATGTTCAACCGTTGAAATGTTTGACAGAATTGGATAAATTTGAGAAATGTTGAAAAGAGTTGTCCAAATGTGATGTATATAAAAAAAAAAGTCATAAGAGTTAGAAAAAGAAAGCAACACCTTGATGAAAATACTTCTGAAGACGTTCTCCTGATTTTGCCAGCAGATTTGGGTTTATAAACAATTTACAAATATTGACTCTTATGGAAGTGATAAAACTTTCTGATAATTTGGCAGCACATTATTCCAATGACATTGAAGTTAGCTTGAGAGATGGTTCAATTTCGGTTTTACGCAGTCTCACAAATAAATTCTGATGTTACAAAAACAAGCAAGGAGTTGTTGATGTACCGCATTTTTCTTAATGATGGTTAGGTAGAAACTTTTCTGAATGTTGCAGTAGCTTTTAGAATTTACCTCAGCCTAATGGTGACGAGTTGTACAGGAGAAAGCTTCTCGCAATTAAAGCGTATAAAAAATGAATGCCATACTAAATTTAATCAAGAACGGCCGACATGCTTTGATGAGTATTGAAAGTGAGGTGACCGGACAACTCTTGTTTGATGACATTGTTGAACAATTTGCGAGACAAAAACCCAGAAAATGTCATTTTAATTTTTAAATAAATAACTGAAATAATAAATGCTGCGTGTCTATCACTTTTTCTTAAGTCAAAATGTCCCCCAAATTATTTGTTTCTCTGGCCCCAGGTACCTTTAATCTGCCTCTGATAATATAATCAACACAGTGAAGTCCTAAAAATACCAAGAATGTATATTGGATCTGACGCTATCAGTAAAAAATAATTTTAAAGAAAGTTATAAAAAAAGCGTGTAGTCGTTTAAAATTGCTGAGTAAATTTATGTCTCCCTGCCAAAACAAAAGCCCAGATTTATCAGCAAATGATAGTCCCAATAATATACTTAATATGATAAATAACTCAAAAATTAAACTTTAACTTACTGTCACATTTTTAGCCGAACTTAATTCTAGCAACCATATAGCAAAACAAATAATTGCCAAACTAAGAAAAGTTGTGAAACTGATTGAGAGAAACTCGTGTGTATTCGTTAAAATTAAACAATCGTTTCAAATTTTATCAGCAGTATTTAAATAGTAGCAAAAAATACATAAATAAAATATATATATATATTTTTTTCGTTATTGTACAGAAAAAAAGTTTAATGGCTAAAGCATGAAATTGAAGTAAATAAAAATAATAAAATTAGTAACTTATAAACTTTTATATCTTTTTATAAATGGGATTGTTTTTAAATAACATAGTGTGTCTTTAAAAGACTCCTATTTTAAATAACATAAAAATATGTCTATATTTTTGGTTTTGCAGTCTATTTATAGAATTCGGTTTTACAGTTTATAAATATTTTTTAATTTTATAACCTATTTATAGTCTTTGACTACTGTTTAAACTTTCCTTACTATTTTCGTTTATATTTAAAGCTTTTTGTTTTATAGCCTATTTATAATTTATTTTGTCATTGAACAGTGAAGTGTCAACAAAATTTACTTATAATAATCTCACAAATAATATTCTCACAAAAAACCAAATTGGTTTAAGTTTAATAGAACAGTTTTATTTAAAACCGTTAAATTTGTAGAAGCAAAAATCGTACATTATCTTAGATTTTTTTTTTTAAATAAACTCAATATGAACTTGTTTTATTGGTAAAACTAATATAAAAATTATGTACCTAATCTAATTCACACTTTCTTGGAAGCAAATGTTTCAATCCAGTTATATTTAAGCAGTAATTTTAAATTAATATCAACTTTTAATATTTAACTAAAAGTAATTAAAGTTGAATAAACAAAATTGAAATTAAGAACTGCTTAGGCTAGCATTTTTTAACAGCATTATAATAATAATAATATAACTTAAAAATTGCTAAAGCCAAAACAATTTTATTGCAGATTTGTCTATTATACACAATTTTTCAATTTAAAATATGTTAAATTTAAAACACAATAAATTAAAAAATTTTTGTTCAAATATTTACCAATTTATATTTTGTTAAAATAGCCAATATATTATAAAATTTGTTTAGCTGATCAATGCAACTAAGGCCTCTATAAACTTAATTTTTTCATAAAAGCACACATTAGCGTTTTCAATGAATGTAACTTGACATTTCTAATCAGACATTATTTGGGAAAATTTTTCATGAAAAACTTTTTTATTATACATTTTTTTATACCACACCTAAATGAGTGTGTTTAACAATAATATAACGTTAGATTTAGATAACCTATGGTAGTGTTAATTTTTCTTCTAAAGTCGTTTTTGCATAAATAATCATAACTTTTAGCCCCATTTAAAAACCTGTTTTTGGTATTTAGTATCATTATTTGAAATACTCGGGACTTATTTGGCCATCTTAAAATAATAAATTACTCCTTTCCGAATGCATAAACAATAAAAAAACAGAGGCGGTAAGTTTTATAAATAAATTACTTTCTTTGTTTGCATAAGTTAAATACCAATAACTAATTATTTATTGGTATTTAATTTATGCAGCTAAGGCATAGAACAAACTCGTAGCCGATAATTTAAAACAAATCTGATTGGTTGTTACTGGCAAACCGAATTAAGACCAATGCACGGTGAAAAACCACATGGTCAATAATTAAAAAAGTGACTCACTTCAAACATTTGTCTGATAGTAGGGTTTGTTACTAACACCCTCACATTTAAACATTTTCCAACTTATGAAACTCTAAATGTGGCAAGCTCGATGGCAGTTGCTTCTTGAAGTTAGGTTTTTAATGTACTTTTGATAAAAATTCTTGAGATGCCGGGTTTTAGTAATTATTATTATTTTAATAATAGATCATTGGAAAAGTGACAATATATACATTATTGAAAAGATAATAAAATAGGCTGTTAAAGTTAAAATAAAAAGTTTCCTGAAAAAGTTGATACTATAATATTTTATGCATAAAAAGTATAACAACTTTTAAATGTTGTTAAAAAGTTTCTTTTTACTTTGTAAGTACATTGTTGTGAACTAGGGTAATGGTAAACACCAGCTAACCAAGAGGGTTTAATAAAAATATCAGCAAAAAGAGGTCGACCAACAAAAGAGTTTGATGAACCGAGTTTTTACACTAAAAGATAATTGATAGTAAATATATCTTTTGATTCAAAAACGAAATCCGTCGAAAAAATATTATTAGTGGCTTAAAAAATAGAATATAATAAACGCAAATTTAATTTAGTCAAATTAGTAATAAAAGTATCGTTAATAAGAGACGACACGAATCGCTATGATTGACCCTCAGCTAACCGCGTTGCAAAGAAAAATGACGTCAAAAAGGTTTTTGCATACTTTTTGGATAACCCAGTTAACCATTCCAACTGGGACCCAACTAGGGATAATGCTGGGACCCATCTGGGTTTTCCACATGGGTCCCATTGCGATTCTGTCAGTGGGACCCAACTGGGTCCCATATGTGATTAATCTAGGTTTTTGACGGGAAGTCCCATATTAAACACAGATTTTTTTTTTTATTTACCGCGGGTTTTCTCAACCTTTTTATAGTTTGTTTTTTCGCAGATTTTTTGTATCTCGAATCTGCGAAATGTGACTATTTTTAGATTAAAAAGCCTTGCATTTTTTATATAAAATTAAAAAGTAAAGGTTATTTATATTATCTATATTGAATTCGCTGTCAGGGCAATAAAATGTATTATGCAAATGAATATTTGGTCTGACATAATTTTTACGACTCAATTGAAAAAACAGATTTGAATTTCATAATATTTTTAAGCAAGAAAAAACTAATATTATACAATGATTTGATGCAAAACTGTTCTACGATAGTAATATTATGCCACAGTAGTTCTCTCATATCGCCACCATAATCGCATGACAAAATTCTGCTTTAAAGTTTATCGTTTCGCTTCTTTAGTGCTTTCATCCATTCTTACACTAATTTTATAAATTAAAAATAAACATCTGAATAATATAATAATTAATAGCTTATATATTTACAAAGTATAGATAAAAATATTTATTGATAATGTTATATAGGGCAGTGTGGCTTACTGTGCCGTATCTTGCATATAACTAACTAACTATTGGCAAACAAAAACACACGTACAAATCACAAGATAACTCAATACAGTATATAAATCGATATACGTGTTATAACTAAGATAACCATACCCAGATTGAAGTAGAGGCTCAGGGCAGGACAATTAATTATTCTCAGTTTGTTGTTACAAAAATAACATCAAAAAATAAATAAAGTAAACACATCATAAAGAATAAAATATAAAAATAAATACTGGAGAACTGAAGCCTCGATATGACACCTTGAATAACGATGTTTCAACTTCTTCAGTTGCTATCATCTAGTTTTAAAGTTTCTTCAGTTTTTCTTTTAAACAGGCATCCTGAAGGGAATCTAAAACAATGTTATTTTACGGTAAATATTTTATGTTATTAATTAGGCATGACATAAATAGACTTGTAAACAACAACAATATAAAATGACTAATATGTTAACATTTAAAATTTAAAGTCTTGACTTGAGTAAACATGACATCTAACCCTTACATCAGTTGGTGAGGATTTAATATCTTTTACATAATTTAGTAAATGCAAAAAAAATCAATATTACTAACATTTTGATTATATTTAATTTAATAATAATCATTTTAGGTTACATTATTACTTGAAAATAATTATTTGTTACAATTTAAACATATTGAAACAAATTAAAAACAATTGTAGTTTTGACTACAATAAGTTTTGTATTAAAATTATTTTCACAGTAAAAATTTACAATTCTAAACAAGTGTAGAGTACTTATATTAATATAAATTATAGTTATATTCATGATTAGTCAAACATAACATATTTCAATTATCGTGGACCAAAATTTATTGTTTAATTTCATGTTGTCTTTGAGCTATATTTTGTGATTATTTATTAAATTTATTTCACTGCAGATTCGACAAAATATACAACAACATAATAAATTGGTTTAAAAAATCATTATACAAATAACTTTTAAACTTTACTACATTGTGACAATGGCAGAATGGATATTGAACATATGACATTACATATATTGAACATATTGAATATTGAACATATGAACATATGACAATACATGCTGCCATTAAACTATTAAAAAATTGACTATTGAAATCATATTGCATGAATAACATACACATTTTACCATATATAAATATTATTACTATTAAATATTATTCTACTAATCAACAGATAAATAAAGATAAAAATAAAAACAAACTACCATTAAGGTACCAAGTGAAGTTTATACAAAAAATCCTTCAAATGTATGTTCATTCCAAATCATGCCACACTACTGCATATGTAGTTTTTAAAAAGTTTTTTTTTATCATAAACCAACTCAAAAAACAAAACATAGATACTATTTAACTTCTTTAATAAATATAATAACATTTTATTAAAATTTAAAATTTAATTCAGTTGTATACAAAAATAACATAGATAAAAAGTTTATTACCAAAAAAAATTGATATCTTTTTTATAACTTTGTAAATAAACATATTATATATGACTATATGATATCATATAATAACACAATGAAATTAACTTGCTATAGCAAGTGAAAAGTACAAAACACTCATGATTATTGAAAGATTCAGTTTTTGCAATATTTAGTATCAAAACTACATTTTAATTTTTATATTGCACTTGAGTAGCGTTTTATGATTGTATATTTAATTTATTTCAGAACATATTCTAAAAAAATTATATAACGTCCTGTGATAATTAAAAAAACATCTTAAAACCTTAAAACTCAATATTTACCTCTTTTAGACTAGCCAAATTGTTTCTTAAACAAATGTCTGAATATTGCTATCAATATATATATATAAATATTTATATTTTAAAGAACTAAAAAATGTATTTAATAAATAAATATATTCAAACAAAATGTGATAGTTTTCTTATTACTTCAGATAAATAAAGCTAAACTTTAAAACTTATAATAATTTTTGTTATTACTTACTATTATGTGCATATGCACTTGCCCCCCCCCTCCCTCTATTGCCTCCCCCCCCTCCTTCTTCTAGTATTTTCTAAATATAGAAAAAAAATTCTTGTCTGTAACGTTCTTCATGTCATAAAGTTTGTTACTAAATTTTTCTGTAAAAAATATCTTTTAGTGATACTTCGTTACAGTTTCGGAAAAAACCTAATTAAGTTTTTTCCTTCTTTACAGTTTCGGAAAAAACCTAATTAAGTTTTTTCCGAAATAATTAATTGCTTATTTGTATGAAAAACACGATACTTTTCAATCTTAGCATGCTTCGTAGTTTACACACTACATTTTCAAAACGGTGCTGACAAGTGACAAGTTTAAATTCTCTTCTTTTTTCCACGGACATATAATTTTTTTCTTCTCTTTATTTTATATCTTACATATCTTGATTTTTACATAATAGATAACAGGCAACATATCTTGATTTTTACATAATAGATAACAGACAACAAAGCAATAACAAAAAATTTTTGCCCCCCCCCCTCCTTAGAAAATTTTCTGCGGGCGCCTATGGTTACAGTATTTATGATATAAGTATTATATTATTAATTATATAAATTATAGAAAATGTAAAATATTTATGTATTTATAAATAATATGTAAAGTTTAGATAAGGCAGTATTACTTAGTGAAACCTTACCTTTCCGTTTTGTAAAGTGTCATTGAGATTTGCTTGAAAAAGACAATTTAAAATGAAACACTCTAACTTAGTACATTTCATTTTTGTAACTTAGTGACTAAGCCATAACTGTTAACACACCGAACCATAAAAACTAATTTGAAAAATTTTCATCATTTGTCTATTGCATAAAAAAATAAAAAAATATCTTCAGTTTGATAAAACATTTTACAAGTCTGTAAAAAAGTAAACATTGACATACTCTCAAACTTATTAATGGTTATGAAATTTAGAGCATTTAAGAAGTATGTTAATTAGTATTTAAGAAGTATATTAAGAGTATGCCATGTTATATTAATATTATGCCATGTGTTATATTAAGAGTATGCCATGTGTTATATTAAGAGTATGCCATGTTTTTTTTTTTTTTTTTTTTGTAAAATCGTTTGTAAAATGAATATCTAAATATTGCTACAAAAATATTTATACTTTTATTATAAATTAAAACTGATATGTAAATAATTATTTTTTACAAAAATACCAAAAAAGAACCATATTAAGTTCCTGTTCACTTTAAATGCAAGTGCATATTCAATCCAAATCAATCTGTGTTACTGCATATGTCATTTTAAAAGATTTTATCATATTTTCAAGCATAATCCCAGCCATAACTCAGTTCCAATAATCTAGTTACATTCCAGCTGGGACCCAGTTATTGTGGTTAACTGGGCAGTTTATCATTTTTATTATTAATTACTATTACTTACAAGTAATTCACAATATAAATTATTTAAATATTTTTTCATATAAAACCTTATACTACAAATTAAAATTAAAATTATAATATTTATAATACAACTCAAATTATAAATATCATCACTTTACAAAACATAGTATTACTATGTTTTGTAAAGTGATAATATGACTATTAGTAAGGTTTTACAAAGTGACACTGCTATATATAAACTTTAGATATCATTTATAAATGCATAATTTAAATGTAAGATTTAACATTTTCTATAAGTTATACAGTCGCAATCAAAAGTTTGGAACATTTTAAAAATTTGCAGAAAATTTGAAATACTTGTTAAAAACCTTTTTTTTTAATTGAAAATTTTGAGTCTTAGTATTATATACATGCGTAATTTATGTTATAAGCCACTAAATTTGTTTTAGTCATAGTTTGTTGTTATTTTAGAAAAAAATTAAAATGTTAATTATGGGAAGAACTAATGAATTAACAACCGAAAAACGTGCTCAGATTGTTATTCTACGTGAACAAGGATTGACACTGACTTCTATTGCTTCACGTTTTAATGTAACCCAAAGCTGTATCATAAAAACATTGAAGCGATATTTTAAAAGTAAAGCTAGAGCTGGACGACCAAAGGTGACTACTCAAAGATCAGATAATCGCATCCATCGTTATGCAAAAGCATATTCGTTTGCCAGTGCTTCTGAAATTTCATCTGAGGTATTCCCCACTGGTGTTGCACCAAGTGTTGTGACCATTAGAAGACGTTTGTGCAAACAACTTCATTTAACGAGCCATGTTCCAGCAAAAAAACCTTGTCTTTCTCCAAAAAATATTAGAGATCGTATTGCCTTCTGTCAGAAATACAAGGACTGGTCAGCGGAAGATTGGGAGGATGTAATATTTAGCAACGAATCATTAATCGAACAATTTGGTTGTCGTTCTACAAGCGTTAGACGCCCGCCTTGCCAACGATACAACCCCAAATATTTGCTTTTAACTGTAAAACATTGCCCTAAAATCATGATATGGGGTGCCATTACAGCCAATCAAAGTGGTGGTTTATGGTTTATGCCTCCTAACACCACAATAAATGTCCATATTTATCTTGAAATACTTCAAGAAAAACTTAAAATATTCATGAACATCACAAATATTTTTAAGCACATCACAAATATTTTAAATATTTTTATATTTTAAAATAATTTTAAGCAGCCGTGGCGCAGTGGTAGCACACTTGCCTCAGAAACGTAAGATCCGTGGTTCAAACCCCGCCTCTGGGCAAGTTTTGCGACATCGGTTGGGAAGGAGGCGTGAACTTCCTATTAAATGCTCTTCCGCGGTGCTCTGTGATAAGACCGTAAGGACTTCTTTGGGCACCTAAAATCAACATTAAAAAAAAAATACCCACAAGTTTCAGCATGACGGAGCACCCTGTCACAGGGCCAAGCTTGTAAGCAGTTGGTTACTTGAGAATGGAGTTGAAGTCATTGGCCCCTGGCCTGGTAATTCACCGGACCTCAATCCCATTGAAAACTGCTGGAATCATCTTAAAAACGAAGTCCAGAAACTTAGACCATCATCTTCCGATGATCTACAAGAAAAAATTAGACAGGTATGGAATCAATTAATGACTCCTGAATGTTTAAGAAAACTCGTTCACTCTATGCCTGCCCGGCTAGCTAATTGTTTGAAAGCTCAAGGACACCATACCAAGTATTAAATTCAAGTATTAAACTCATAAAACATTTATTAGTATTTCAAAGTTATTATATTCGGAAATTTTTATGGTTACTAATATATTTTGATAAAATAACTGAATAATTTAATAAAAATTGTGTTTTTTATACAATGTTCCAAATTTTTGATCGCGACTGTATATTTGATAATATATTCGCCGTGGATAGCCTACCGAAAGCCGGTAGCGGAAAAATAAAAATTGTCCTACCGAAAGTTTTTTTTTTATTGATTGAGAATATCACATGTCAAAATAAACAATATTTGTTATACCGTAAAATGAAGAAAATTTAACATATTATTTTTAAAAAACAAAAACGTAAAAAATGTAAAAAATTAAATAGGATTTTCCATTAAATAAATAGAAATAACTGCCACCCCATACCAAAACCCTCAGTCAATGCATGTACACTACACAGTGCCTATCCCTATATTAGTAAGCGTATGTGCACTTCACTGCGCCTAT